ATGTCGACATACATAAGCACATAGAAAAGAACCAAGAGAAGTTGAGAATAAAAGTATTGAGAGAAGAAAATACTGGAGGTTATTAGAGAATAGGAACATGGGCACTGAGAAAAGGTATGGAAAGGATGACAGTTTTGACTAATACTTGAAGAAAGGCAGAAAGTATAGGCAGAGAAACAAATATTTAGATGTGTATAGGTGGGTCAGATGCAGTGACTAATTCCAATTTTTGTATTCCACTATGCAGTTACACAGTGTTATACCATAGTAATAAAATACAGTGTTTTCCTTGGTATGAAAACCACTATTTCAGTATTTTAATTTGGGTCTTAAATCAAATTATTTACAACTTGGGAGCAGGGTCAACAACTTAACATTAATGAAAAAATCTGCAGAATAAAACTCTTTACTCAATGTTCAAATTAGTTCTAAATTGAAAATTTTTTAAATAAAATAAAAGTACTCTCATTTAGAAAGTATTCTTTTATGCTCTCATGCTCTTCAAGAGAAGAAAATGACAGATGACAATGAAAAAATAATTCTTATTCAAGTTCTAAAGTTCAAATGAACACCTGTTTGGCTGTATTGAAAACGATACCGATTATCTACAGATTATCTCCGATACATGATGAAACTAGAAAAGATAAAGATACTTTCTTTGAAACAATCTATAGCCTGCTACACCAAGAAAAATACTGATGTCCCTGCAAAACAAAACAAAACAAAAACAAAGACACTCAATAAAGTTATCACACAAGAGGTGAGATCATTTTAAGATAAAGGGGTAAGAATAAAACGTTTATGTTGGCTTAAAACTGTCTCTTCACCATTACTTTATTGTATGAGGTCAAAAAAAGCTTTTTGGAAGTTGGAAAAGTGTGCATAAAATTATACGTGCAACTTAATGACACCATGGATAAACCTGGTTTTGAAAGATTAAAAGAATATATTTTGTTGTAAATTTTCACTATTGTGTCTTTATTTGTGGATGGTTTCGTTTTCTAAATATTTTTATTAATATTACTTGTTAATTCATATTAGTATATTTAACAATTTTTATTTTAATGTTAAACAACTTTGTTTATATTACTGTTTTTATTTATAAATTAAATGTATTAGTTGAACTGTATTAAATGTTTTACTGATTTTGTTTTAATGAACTGCTTTGATGGTAGAATACCAACAAGTAAAGTCAGTAACATCTTGATCATTTAATTGTAACACAGAAATCATGAGCAAGGCAAGAGTCCTCATACCTGATGGTCTCCATCTTAGCTGTAAAGAGGACAGAATTTGGAGGCTAGATTGGTTGGAGCAGGACCACAACTTAATGAAAATGGAAAAAAGTTTACATTGTGTGGAAGGCCTTGTCACAGGTAAAAGATAATAAATAAAAGAAATGCCAAAAAAACAGTAAAGCAGAAATACAATAGCAAGATTTGTACTGGGTCAGGTAATAGCTTTTGTGGCTTTATCAACAGTGCTATTTAACCAGAGCAGTTCTTTGGACTTTCAGAATATGCAACAAGTTACCTTTATTAAATCTATCTGAGCTCCCTCAATTAAAGGGTATTATTACATACGCTGCTCAAGGAAGGAATAAGGGAAAAATGGAGTAAGTCACTAGAAGCATTAACTGCATAAATGATAGTATCCAAGTGATCGACAATACTTTTTTTCATTATAACTGTTAAGTTCAGAGTGAACTCCCCCAATTTTTTAAAAACATGATTATAAAAAAAAATGCCCAATATAGAAAGTTCTGTGAGAAATTCAGTTATCCTGCTTCAAAGCACCCTATAAGATAACTACATTTTTATAATACATCTTACACTTGAATGTCTACTAATGACGAAGAGATTTTTTTCTTCTCCATTTTCAGAAGTCCACTCTTACACAGTGGCATGAAAAGGTAAGTTTAAATATCCTGCTTTTAAAAGATTTATTACACGTAGTTGAAAAACAGCTGAAACTTTCAGATATTCAGCAATGCTGAACCTTTGCTTATATGCCTATTAAACTGAACTCTGATCATATCTTACCTCCACAAGGTAGACAAAAAAAAAGCAAATGATATTTGTATTATAGTTAAAAAAACATGTGAATGAAAAATCTCTTCCAACATGCTGTAGTACTGTAGGTTGAGCCATATCAAGTTACATAAAAATATGATTAAAATAATTAGATTCTATTATATGTAAGAAATTAGAATTTCTATCTAAAAAAGAACCATGAAGAATATATCAAAATATTATAGACAAAAATATTATGTTGTGCCTGCCTCTTCCCTCCGCATCACCAATTTTAAAGACAAGGATCCTTAAGACACTTAAATATGGTCAATGGACACAGTTGACTTCATTTTAAATGGCTAGATTTTTTCCTAGTTACCTAATGGGTATTATTAATAGCCATACCTACCACTATTTATATCTCAAAACTCACTATATGACTAAAACTTTGATGAAAGGCTTGGAAAGTTACATTCAAAATGTACCTTTCTTTCACTCATAAAGTTATTTAACTCAACATAGTTATTGTTTGGGGGTGGGGGGGGACTTCCCATGAGTTAAATGACAGGAGGTTAAATGATAAATTCTTTAGAATAAATTTCATGAATCGGTATTTCAGTTCAATTTCAGCAGTGGAAATGGCAAGCAGGGTCAGTTGAGCCCAGGAGTAACAAGCAATAGAGAAATCACTTTTAACAAGGATACAGTAGGCAAGTCTTCACAGAAAGGCATCTGTTACTTCTTGAAAGATGAAAAGATTCTGACCACTGGGCTTCAAGCTCACTGAAGCCCCCCTTTTTAGGGAGGCTTTTTGTTGGGAGAGACTAGAGATGGAGCACATGGCACCACTCTGGTTGCAATACAGCACATAAGCAAGGGAGTGGTGGCTAAAAGCATGGAAGTTGATAGGAGCAAGATCAGAAAGAAACCTGAACATCAATGCTGAAGAGGCTGGACTGAAATCAGTATGCAGGGGTAAATGAGTGAGGATTTCTGATAAGTAAAACCATTCGACGTTTAGGAAGATTCTTAGGCTACAGGCTGAATATAGCCTGGGGGAGAGATGAGCGGGAGGGAGTTGAGCGCCAAACCGTCCCCTGCTAGAACACAGGACACAGGGCTCCTGAATTTAGGAGTCCAAATTGGAAATGAGGAGAAAGCCCAGCACTAGTAGAGGGAAGAAACTTAAAAACGCTGCCGAGATTTTGAATACAAGTGAGGAAGTGATTCTATTAACATAAATGAAGATGTTAATATCTATCTAGTAAAGGCCAAAAAAAGTTCTAGTATACTTATAAATTTAGTTTTGGCATCCCACACCGCTGCACTACTCTCTGTACTACTGCCAAAGACTGATCATCCCTCTGCGTTCCTAAGGGCTACTTCCTACAAGCCAGAGCACGTTTTAAAAAAGTGAGAGTCACGCTTTATAATCCCTATATAGTTGGCGGAAGAAAAAAAAAAAAATCACAGGTCGTGCAAAGCTGAATTTGGGTTAACAGTTTGGGATGTTTCGACAATGAAAAGGCCGATGTCATTATCAGAGAATATGAAAAGCCTCCCAGCTCTCCTTTTAAACTTCCTACTTGGGATGAGTGTTTCCACTACAGGATACATCTGATCAACAGGACTCCCATCTTGGTCCTCCCGAACTGTGGCCTCCATGCTTGGGCTCCCCTTCCCCTCCCACATAAGGAGCGAGGAGACACCAGGCCTGACCCCGGAAAAAGCGCCCTCCACCGTCCTCCATCCCCAGGAGTCGGGCCGGGCTCCCCTCCCCCAGCCGGCAGCCCAGGGCCGAGGGAGGCGCTCTGGGCGGCCGCGAGCCTGGTACCCAGTGCAGCCGGCGCCGCAGCGTCGCCCACCCTGGCGGGTCCAGCTCACCTCAGCCCGGGCTGGCTCGGGGCCCTGCGCGGCCGCGGGCTGCGGCTGCAACTGCTGGGCAGGCGCCGGCGGTTCCTTGTTCCGGTGGCTAAGGTCTTCGTCCGGGACTGCCCGGACCCCAGCTGGAACGCACAGCAGCGGAACCAGCAGGAGCAGAAGCAGCCAGGGGGCAGATGCGCGGCCGCTCCCCCGGGCCGCCGCCGCCGCCATCCCGCCCGCCGAGACGGCCGCCGCAGGAGGAAGTATGGGCTACAGGAAGACTCGACCCCGAGCCGCCTCCGCGGCGCCGCCCCTAAGGCTTCGCCGCCGCCGCTTAGTGAGGACTCGGTACCATGCGGGCAGTACTAATGGCGGGCGTAAGATTTCGGGAAAACCGGCGTTCCTCGGATCCCCCTTCTCCCGCGATGGCCACACGACTCCGCCAACTGTCTCAATGCGGCCCAGCCCTGATTCCCCCAGGCCCCGCCCCTGCCCGTGACGGCCTCCCATTGGCCCAGCGTCCGTCTCGGCGTCGTGACGTCCTCGGGCAGGTTGAGGTGCGGCTCGCGCCCTCTTCCCATTGGACGCGGCCAGTACCAGGCGCCACGTTACCTTCCTCTCCTCGCATCCTTCTCGTGCTCCACCCCGGACCCTCTTCTCTCTCTGGACCCGGTTCCGGGATTTCGCGGCTCGTTACTTCTCCTCCCTCCTGAGTCTTCTTCCCTAATATCCAGGCCGGCCTGTCCTTTTTTTTTTTAACCATTCCAAAATATCAAATTAGTTCTAGCGCCCAGGTTTCGTGGCACCTAGCCCCGTTCCGTACTCCTTCAAAGAATCTCCGTGCCACCTCCGACGCGGCGATCTGCTGAGGACAGCGTTCTTAGAGGGTCAACATGCTATTATTAAAAACAAACCTTTGAAATAGGACTTAGGAAATAACACGAAAATTTTCAAGCCTTATTTTAGATTGTTTGTTTGCCTGTAGTCACCCTCAGACCCAAAACATCTAACATTGCCCATGTCCTGCAGCGCCTTTCCACTTGGAATGCTTTTTGTTGCACCTATCTTAGACCGATCTCTTAAAATGTTTGGGTTTTGAAATTGAATATAGGGTTTTTTAAGATTAGGAGTTGGGGGTGGGCAACAGTAGAAAACAGGAAAGGGTGGTTCGTTGGGTTATTTTTACATTTTATGAGGATATTTTTACGTTTTATATTTTTTAAAAAGTTAAGCTATTTAGTTATCAGAAGTTTGACTAAGATAGTGCTAACCATGTTCCAGGTACTCTTCTAAATACTTTACATATATCTACATGTATTAAACTTGTACTTTATGAAGAGCTAAGGAAGGTTATCACTAAGTACTGGGACAATAAATGAATCCACCAAAACAATCTGTGGCAAAGTGGACAAAGCTACTTTGAGTTTGCTAAAGAAACCATTTTATGTCATGGGTTAGTAAAGCTTTTGGTCATGCTGTTCTTCCTGTCTGTAATTAACTTCCTCTATTTTATCGCTATAAACTACTCATATTTCCAAAACTTGTTCAGGTCTGACCTCTCAGAAGTATCCTCCCAATACCTTCTCTTACAAAATTCATCACTTTTTGCTTCTTGATATTGTAGCTTATGCATGTTTTTATTATTGTGAAAGATGCCTCCTGGAGGGCTCAAACATTTGCACTCTAGAGATGAACTAGGAGGCATGCCTAGTTCATCTCTAGAGTGCAAATGTTTGAGGCCTCACAAACCAGTAATAGAAAAGCCAGGAATCCAGACTATCTTCTCTCTATCCTCCTCTTTTTTTTTTTGCATACATAATTAGCTGTGCTTAAGAAGTATCCGAAAGGCAGTCAACTAGTGTCTCATTCTCATGGCTAAAGCAGAAGGGTAAAGTGGCAAAATTGGCCATGTGTCCCTGTTTCCTGGAAGGTACTTGGCCTATTTTCTGAGGTGGGCCGCCCACACCCCAGAACTCTCTAACAGGAAGTGCTCCTGGCCAAATTCCCAGTCACCTCAGCAGATGAGGCAGTGAAGACTTACAGGTTACAGAGAGGGAACTGGAGAGAGGATAGTCTGGACTTTGGGGGCTCAAACATTCACACTCTAGTGATAAACTGGGAGGCACAATATTTGTACCCCAAATTCTATCTGAGGCATCCTGGTTACTTCCACAATAATAGGATGCCAATGCACTGGGCAACTCAGTGTGAGGTAGCTCAGGGGTAAGGCAGCAAAGCTGTTTAGCAGATGTAAACAGAGATAAAGCATTGTCCCATGGGGAACCCACACGCAGTGGGGTCAGTGCAAAGTTAAGAGTATGGGCCACAGTGGGGCCTTTCCATCCTGCCCTGGTGTCACCCTGATCCAAGGGCCCTCAGGCTTTGCCAGTCTAGGCTCCAAGTGTCAGATTTCAAAGTGATCAGCTGTTTCTGTGCTCAGAAGTGCCAAATCAGAGCTGGTTCTGATTTACCTACCGTTAGGATTTAAAGCCATTATCATTCTATTCCTCACTATTGACTAACTCCTTTTTGAAAACAACAACAATAACAACAACCAGAAACAAACAAAAAAGAACAAACATGAGAACTATTTACTTCACCCCTACCCAATAAGGATGTGGGAGACTCCAATTCCAAGATGATTTTCTTTTTTTGTCCTGGCCTACATGGATATAGTCTCTCAAAAATGTAATCACTGGCAGGCACCCTTCTGGTAAGAAACCCTGATATATGTGCATTTTACTATATTTTAATATTTTTTAGTCCTACCTCCTGACTGGGTCATAAGCTTCTAGATGGTAAGATTATCTTTTATATTTATATCCCTAATACCTAGCTAATTTCCTAACATCGTAATAGTGATAGCCATCAATACAGTAGTATTAATAGCAGTAACATTCTCATTATCTGTTAGAGGAGAATCTTTTTTCTCCATTCTAGTTTTCTTTGAGGAGGAGGTCTTTCCTGGTCTCTCTCAGAGCCTCAGCCATTTTACCTCTGATGATGTGAATTTGGGCAAAGTAACTGAACCTACTGCCATCTGCTTTGCCACTTTTTTCCTCTTGGGAGGTGCAGCCCACAGGGAAAAATAGTCTCTGCTGTTCCTTCTGGGACTGCCTGCTCCCAGCTCTGGCTGCATGCAACTGAGTGGGGACAGCTCTTGATTCTGGAATTCAGTATTAGCCCAGTGCCCCTGGCTACCAGACCTGAAGTCACTCCTTCCAACCTGGCCATCTGTCTATCCCATTCTCTGTTTTCTTCCTCAACTTTTCAGAAGAAGAGGCAAGCTATTTCCTGAGCTCTCTTAGTGAGCTCTCCCTGCCCACTCCCACAATCATCAAAAGGTGGATTAAAGCTTTTTACTTTAAACAGTCCACAGAGTAAAGGCTGGTTAGAGAAGCCAAGACAGGGAGTGATGAGAAAGGAAAGTGGGGAAGCAAAAACCAGGAATTCATGCTAAGAGTTAAAGTCATTCAAAATTAAAGAGAAGGTGCTTGGAAAATTGAAATGTAAATTAATGACAAATAGCAATTTATAACTTGCTTGACCTCAACTCTAAAGCACTTCTACTATGTGCAGTGAAGCATACTTCTACCCATTGGCACGCTAAACCCCTCAGATGATGGGGACCTGTCCCCTTGTAAGCAGGACCTCTACTGGCCCAAGAGAAATGGAGAACTGCCCTTTCAGACCCATTCTTGGACTGTCCTCAGTTTCCACAAGTAAATAGAAAATTCAAAGAGAATACTAAATACATGCTCCAAGAATTCTCATTGCCCAACAATTTGCTTACCATTTCCATCTGGATGTCTCACAGGCACTACAAACAAAGCATGGGCAAAGCAGTTCTCTGGTTTCCCTCCAAAAGCCTGTTCCTTCCTCAGCTTTCACATCTCAGTAAATGGAACCAGCATTCCCTATTAGATTCCTCTCATCTCCTCCTATCCCACATCCAACCCACCAGCAAATTCTGTTGGCTCTACTGCTAAAATAGATCCTGAGCCTGTTCACCTGTATCTCCCCAGTTACCACTTTATCCAAACTAGGTGTCATTTCTCACCTGGACTATTAAAATAGGCTCCTAATTGGCCTTCCTGCTTCCCCTCTTGCCAATCTATAATCTAACAACAGCCAGGGTGAGCTTTCAAAATGAAATCATTTCATTCCCCTGCTTAACATTATCTAATGGTTTCTTAATTCTCTTAGAAAAAAATCCAAAGTCCCTATCTCTGAATTAAAGTTCTATGTGATCTAACCTCGGCGTTCTGTGTGATTCCATCTCTTAGTTCTCTCTACCTCACGTGCCATACTCAACTAAGCTTGTTTCCACCTCAGGACCTTTGTACTTGCCATTTCTCTTCTTAGAACACTCCTTTTTCAGGTCTTCTTCTGGTCATTTAGGATAAATATCACCTCCTCAAGAGAGACCTTCCTGCCCATCCATCTAAAGTAGACCCCCTCCCTCAGCCTTGTCACTTTCTGTCTCACCTTTGTTTGTTTTTTTTTAAGCTTTGTCATAGTACTTATCACTGTGAAATTATCTTGAAAATCTAATTGTTTACTTGTTACATTTATTATGTGTATCACTCAACTAAAATGTAAGCTCCATCAGGGCAGAAATCTTACCTGTTTTGCTCACTGTATTCCCAAGGTCTAAAACAATGCCTGGCCGTAGGAGATACTCCGATATGACTGAATCATTAGTTTAATGTAATTCTGAGAACAAAAAGAAAAGACAAAGAGAAACCTAGACATTGAGATAGTCTGACTCAAAAACAGATTTCTGACCTTGTCATTCCTTCCCCCTTTAAAGATCAGCCACATCCCATACCCGTATGTTCCTCCCGTAAGGCCTGAGCAGTTTGGAAGAGTATTCTATGCCTTCTTTGTCCTTGGCCTGATTCGAAGAGACAGAGTTTATCCTACTTCCTGCTCACATCCTAGTGGCCTCGAGTTCATTCATAGCCAAAGACAAGAATCAGTCTTTAACTCACCAAGAACCTTTCAACCTGGAATATCTCTCCTCCCCAAATGATTGTCAGGTCCATTTAGGCCTGACAGCAACTGAGACTCCAACTTCTATCCTCTAAGCCACTCCTCCAGATTAGGAGAAACTCTCAGACCATTCTCTTCATTGTCAACTCAGTGCTCAGAAAGTTTGATGATGTGATTCCGGGCAGAGAGGTGATTGGATATTGGGTGGGGGTGATACTCTTTCACTAAAGTAAGGCTTGAGTATTAGTGAGAAATTGGGTCAAAATTATGTGGTCTAGAGGAATATAAATTCATTAGACTTGATGAAGGTCTTTAAGATAAGAAAAGTTGTAGCCCTGAAGTGGAAGACCCTCTGTTTCCCTCGTGCCATGCTTTGAGAGTAGAGCTTGCCCACTGTGAAAAGTCTGTAGACACTGAGACCTGCCCTCCCTCTTCCCCTAGGCATGCCTATAGGACTGTGACTGACATGGT